AAACTGTTTCGCTAGGAGCAAATTTAGTTGAATTTTCTAATGGATTTGGTGATTCTATCCCCCACACAAACAAGCAGTGACGTCATAGTGAAATAGGGCAATTCCATTTGGAGTCGAAGCAAGAAGTGGAATCACTGATAAATCCTATTTGTGTGCTGCTGTTGTTGTTGTTTTTTTCTTGCTCACCGTTGTCTGTTCCCAGTATGTCGTAGTTGATTTTAAGCTCAGATTTTCAACTTTAAATAGTATTAATCTTATTTCTCCTTAATGCAGATGATGACGAAGACGATGAATTCAGCGAGGAACCAGTCGCGTTGAATTTCTCCGTCGCAAAGTCAAGAAACATAGTCCAACGAAACGAATCCTACTGCTTTGCCGTGACCAAAAGCAAACAACCATACCGCCGCAGCCCGCTCATAACACGAGAACCCGCTCGATCCTCTGGAGCACTTAGAACATCCATGTCAGGAAACATCCCAAACAGACCCTCTAGTACTGTTGCTATGCCAACGCCTCCATTAGGAAGCACTCAGGATAGATCTGCTGTCAATGACGGTCCAGATAGTCAGTCAAATGTATCCAAGGTGTCGAATCCTACCCCAGTACCACCCCCACGGGTAGACTCTTATAATAGTTCTGTAATCGCAAACTATCAAATCCATCAACAGATGGCTAATGGTAGATATAGTAAATTGAATGCCAACACTAGTCAAGATCAAGGGACAATACCTCCTGCAGTACCGCAACCACCTTTACTTATAGCAAACGAGAAAGAGAAGTTATTATCCGCCTACCCCAAAGGATACGAGAGAACGCGTAGCTCTGAATCAGAAACGATGGATAATGAGGTGTTTAATGACAGTAAAGACGTAGTGTTTGCTGGATCAGAACTTCCTGATGATAATCCTTTTGATAGAGAAGGTTTCGGTAGACAATCCATGTCGGAGAAAAGAGCACGCGCGTCAATGGACGCCAAAAAGACTGAAATATACCAAAAACGAGAAAGGCAAAAGTTAGCCGAGGAAAAACAAAAACCTACCAAGACAAGACCGTCGAGTAGTTACGAGAATATGAATTGCGAAGGGACTCCTTCTCCTTTACGGAAAGCCAAGTCAGAAGGACATATGCAAGCTGCTGCTATTGATGGTAAGTCGCTATGTTCAGACTAATTGACATGTTATAGCTAGCTAACACCTTTACATGCATGCATGTATTCCTTAAGAAAACATAGTCTTTAATCGGAGTCTCAAGTGTATCGGGATCGTATTGTTTCCTTTTCCTTAGTTGGTTCTTCCGCTTATGACGAGCGGTTTTCACTGGCCATTTCATGCATGAACTGCTTACTGACTTGCACTCCGACGCAATTGAAAACCAACCTTAATGTATCTGAACTTAGGCTTTTCCATTGGACACGAAGTATGCAGCGAAAAATCAACCCATTTCACGACTGGTCTATCACAGGTAGCCCAGTAAAGAGGGGCAGGATACTGAAGAGGGCTCGTGCTTCTCCTTACACTTCTTTCGTGCTTACGTCACTTCCTGCGTGCTTTCCTACGGAAAAAGCTTCTTTTTGTTTAACTAATTGCACTATGCTACTAGCTCAGATCGCTCACTATGGTTTGTTCTTTATTTCTAGCACAAGTATCAAGAAAGACGTCATCCAGTAGTCCGATGTTGATATCCACCTCTGACAGCTCTCTTAGACCTGGTGTCAACGGAAAAACGTACGTTTGATACACCACTTGACCAAATACTCATTAGAGATGGACCATTGGGGGAAGGGGGTTGCTGGAATTTATGTTGCACGACATATTTTTAACCCCTGCACGCAATGTTTTTTGTTTGCTCGATATTTCTTTACTGAGAGGAGAGATTGCGCGTTTTTCTTTTCTTTTTTTTTTTTTTTTTTTTTTTTTTTTTTTTTTTTTTTATATATAAAATACGGTTTGATTAGATTAAAAAGAAATTAAGGGTGGTGCATTATTAGCGCACTCACTTTCACCTCTGGGGTCTTAGGTCGGATTTCTAAACTCGGGATCACAATGGGAGCAGATTTTTTTAGTGTCTTTCCCTTCAGCGATACGAAGGTTTCTCTGGTTTTCCTCTTTTCGCCAAAACCCATATACTCCATGCAATTCAATATAAAAGTTAACCTGACTTGTATTTGCCCAGTCATAGTTCGTTAGTGTAACTAATAATGTATTTATTGGTGTTTTTCAGACGAACCTCTAGTGGCAGTACTAGTAATCTCAGCTTTAGGAATGCAATCGAAGGAGCATCAACATCAAGCTTAGGTAACAATACAAATCTTATGTTAGTAACCCAGTGAGAGGTCCGTACGTGAGATAAGGACCTCACCTTTTGCCATAACATAGGAGCATCGTGAGTCTGCCAGATAACGCACTCTTCCATTAACGTCACGCAGTTTTTTTAGTAACGTAATATTCCATTTTCTTCGGGGCGTGACATGCCTAATGGTATGCAATAAATCAAAGGGGTTCATAATAAAGGCTTCGAGAGTCTGCCAGAAAACGCACTCTTCCAGTGTCGTCGCGCGCAATTATTTAAAATAGTATTCATCTTATATTCCATCTTATTCAGGGCGTGACATGCCTAATGGTGTCGCTAGACAGAGTCAGTCAGATGATGCACAAGATGAAATACCCATTACCATGACAAGCAAAGCAGACTTCAATGCTGTACAACAGAAACTGGCCAAGAAACCTTTCTACCGGAAATTCAAGTAAGTGTTTTCTGAGGATGGCATGGCTCTTTAAGAAAGGGGGAGGGGGGGGGGGAGAAAGCGCGCCCATTTTTGACACAGCTGACGTAATTTTAATGGCAATACTCCAGTTTTAAGTTCTTTGTTAATCAGGGTTAGCCTCGACTTTGTGCACTAGGACTTTTTTTTTTCGTGCGCGCCTTTGTTTACCTATATTATAATACACTCAAAAAATATGTATAAATACTTGCATATCAACGACATAGTATACCATAGGGGAATTATATAGGTAAACTAAGGCGCGCGCAAAAAAAATGTCCTAGCGAAGAAATAGAAAACGTGCGCGCGTGCTGTGTGCAGTTATAAAGCACGCGGGGACTGGCAGAACACGAGGAAGTGTTAGGAGAAGCACGACGCTTAGCCACGCGTGATCCTCTTTTTATCGAATTTTCGTACTCTTTCGTATTGCGGAGAACATTATCTTGACTTCAAATTAAAAAAGTAATTATTCAGTTTTTCCCATTTTATTTTCAACTTTCACTTTAATCTACTTTGGGCTGCCTGTGGTTTTAACTAAGCCTCACGTTTTTCTTTAGAATCGGCAAAACACGACGAGGGGAGTATAATATATCAGACATTGAAAGGTCACCAAAACACTCGATATATTCACAAGAAGCATTGATTGACTTCCCATCTGAACAACGATACCGTCAGCTCGTAAGTCACTATGATGAGTCCGACAATAGACCAAACAGTATGCCAAGTAGAGGGAGAAAATCAGGCAAGGATCAGAATGACGGGAAACGACTGTCCAATCAACCAAGCAGTAACAAGATAGGTAGAGTTATTATGTCTGAACCTACTCAAGTTTAATTGTGCAATGATATAGTGTGTCATGGTGTATGGGTAACAACACTTGGTCGTGGTATATAAGACAATAACCCATGATTGTGTGTACTAATGTCTCTGTAAAGATGAATAGAGATAACAGGGATATGAAGTGGTGTATGGGGTAATAACCCATGAAGGTGGTCATGTTATATAGGACAATAACCCATGATGGTGTGTTATGTCTCTGTATAGATGAATTTAGATAACAAGGATATGAAGTGGTGTATGGGGTAATAACCCATGATTTATTCGTGGTATATAGGACAATAGCCCATGATGGTGTGTACTAATGTCTCTCTATAGATGAATATAAATAACAGTGATATGATGTGGTGTATGGGGTAATAACCCATGATAGTGGTCGTGGTATATCGGACAATAGCCCATGAAGGTGTGTACTAATGTCTCTGTATAGATGAATATAGATAACAGTGATATGATGTGGTGTATGGGGTAATAACCCATGATAGTGGTCGTGGTATATAGAACAATAACCCGTGATGGTGTGTACTAATGTCTCTGTATAGATGAATGTATATAACAGGGATATGAACGCGCTATCAAGCTTGTACAGTATAGACAAGAATGCAAGGATTTACACAATTTATATATCTATTGTATATTTACAAATAATATAGGAAAACACTTAATTTAGAATTGCTTTTAATACTCTAGTAGTATTCAATACATCGATTAAAAATCCAATCGTAGACATACATATGAATAGGTAATACCACAGGGAGCCTAAATTCGAGATTTACTAAAAACAGTTTGGATTAAAAATAAATGTGGGCTCCCTGTGTTATCTTTTGATCGATGTTCCCGCCCTATATTTATGACTCACTTACGTCCAATATTTTATAATCACATTCTGTAATTACTTGTTGGGATACCTGTGGTAGGTAGTACCCAGTCCGTACTCTGATTATACATTGAATATAAATGTAAAACATAGAAATGTATTGATAAAGAAATAAGCATTTACAAAGTTCCTGTTCTGCTGTGGTCTGCCTGATGGAGCGGTCTACTTATGGCTAGAAATTAAAATTATTTTCCTAATATAATATCAAAAAGTTTTAGATTCTATAGATTGGTTTTTATTAGGGTACATAGCTATTGGTATCGATAGTGGTACTTACTTATTGATGTATGTCATACGAGRCTAATATTGGGAGGCCGTCGCGTCACAAGAAGTAGGGACTTTAAGATTCGCAAAATCTGCGAGGGCGACGTCTACCGGAAGTGTAAACAACTTCACTTTGGGGTTTCGCGCCTTCAAAGTCTGTATTCCCTGTGGATGAGTTGACTTTACTGACAATGTTTTGAATAAAATTTCCAATGAACAGAACCCAAAAAGAAATTATTTACACTTTCGGTTGACGTCGTCGTCGTAGATTTTGCAAATCTTAATGTCCCTAGTGACGTCATACTCTCGATACTTGATTTTTGAAAGTCATAACCTGTTTTACCGGTTTACATACTACTGACCTGTTTTACAGGTTATCTCATTACACGTCCCTGGATTACTGGGGTTATATCAGTAATACAAATATTAAGGCGGCTGAATGTACTAGCTGTTTCCATAGCAACATAAAGACATCTTTACTGCAATGCTGCATAGGCACAGTGATAGACGTGAAACTCTTAAGAAACTCAATGCGAGGTCTTGAAATAAGCTGACAAGCAAGCTATGGTGTTGTTACTAGTCTCTAGTAAACCATCAATGAGAGGAAAGTTTCAAACAGCTTTTTATTTGTACTGGATCACAATAGAAAATAGGCTTGATATTACTGCATATGTCACATGTAGACACTGACCAACTTATAATAAACATCTATTATATTTGTATGAAGTAATTACTTGTTACTTGATTGCGTTTGGTTAAAGGGAATTCAAGGGTGGTTTTTGATGGCTCTCGTGTCTCGGTTCGATTCCTTGTACTTGGCCTCACATACATGTGAGTAGAGTTTGTCAGGTCTCTCCCGTGATTTGAGGGGGGGGGGGGGGAGAGGAGAATTTCTCCGGTTTCCCTCCATTCGAAAAATCTATCACACTAAAATTCAAATTTGATCTGTGAGTGCCCGTGCCCGTGCCTCGACTTAGATCAGACCAGAGGTTGTTTCAGGGTTCGATCTGTGAGTTAGCCGTGCCCTGACTTAGATCAGTACAGAGGTTGTTTCAGGGATGGATCTGTGAGTTGCTGTGCCCAGACTTAGATCAGCCCAGAGGTTGTTTCATGCAGGTTCGAACTGTGAGTTGCTGTGCCCTGACTTAGATCAGACCAGAGGTTGTTTCAGGGTTCGATCTCCGATCTGTGAGTTCCTGTGCCCTGACTGATCAGCCCATAGGTTTTAAAGGGTTTGAGGGAAAGTTAGTCAGTACAGTCGTGGTGTTGTCCTTAACAGATCCTTCGGTATCTGCACAGCACAACATTGCAAATGAGCAGATGCTCGAGGCATATCAATATCTTTCTTCCATTCATCATTTACAACTGAATATGATTCTACACTCGAGAACGTCTCACTTGCCTGCCCTCCGCCTAACACATACAGCCTTTCATGGATCACCGTTGTGGTGGCAGCAAATCTAGGGATACCCATACTGGCTATCATCCTCCATTCTTGCGCTCGAGTATCGTACACCTCGCAACTGCTCAACGCGTCTTTCCCAAGAACATCTGTACTTCCGCCTATGACGTATATCTTTTCACCGACTGCAGCAACACAGGCAAAGGCCCGAACAGTACTCATACTCTCTATAGGTATCCATGTGTTTGCACTGGGTTCGTACTTCTCTGCTGTATCAAGGAAGTCGCTGCTCTCCTGCATTCCACCGAAGACGTAAACATGGTGGTCATCCGCAGCTGCACAGGCTGCACAGCGGCCAACACTAAGACGAGCAAGACTCTCCCAAGTGTTGGTCTCGGGACTATATCGTTGGGTGTCTCTTAGAGCATCATTATCAGTGCCCCCGATGACGTATAACTGCCCGTCATGAACGGTTACGGCAGGAAGTGATGTACATTGGCGAAGCGCGCTCACTTCAACCCACGTGTTGGTCCTGAAGTCATAACGACAGACATTTGACGTTGCATCTTGTTTACTGTCATCATAGAAACCACCAACAACGTAAACAAAACCTTCAACTTCAGCCATGCCATGAGCCCAGCGTCTGCGAGACTTCTCAGCGGTTATCGGAGCCAAACTGAACCAGGCTTCCTCGGACGGCACAAAACACAGACAGGAACTTTTCTCATTTCCTTCGTACAAACCTCCACAGGTTATTACTGCGTCTACTTGCTTCTTCAAGCATTTACGAGGGCCTATCGTTGGAGTTCCTTGATGTCCTGCTTGCATTAGAGATAGATATTTCATAGCATCCAACAACAGTTCGATACACTGACGGTTTGTTTTCACTAGTTCTTCACTTCCAATGTTGGTATGTAGATAGTATTTAGACATGGATGCCAACCGCACATGACGAAATAAACATGAAAAATAAGAATTTCTTGACTTCCCTTCGTGTTTGACCCAAGCCAAGATGGCTTCGTAAACCTCTTCCTCACGATCCACAACAATATCATCATTAGATACAATTTCTTCGATCTGTTTCAAACTAAGCTTCAAGAAACTTTCAGTCTTACATACACTTTTGAAATCCTTATTGATATAAAGTTGAGCAACTTTTTTCAACTCTACGCAGTCATTGCGGTCGGCGAAACTAAAAATGTTAATACAGTTTTCTAGATTCAAGGAGTTGGAAAGAAACTTGCAGCCCATGGATTTTAGTCTTGGGAGAAGTAAGATATTAGCTGCCATTATCAAACCGCTCACGTTGTTTACACTCAAGTCAACGACGCCAGTATACAGATACTCCAGTAAGTGCTCCATGACTTTTAAACTTACATCATTAACCACGAGAACGAGATCTTTTTCTTTCTTCTTTTTCTTGGCAGGTTGATTGAATACCTTATTGAAATACGGGCTACTCGATGCCAAGACATTTTTATGAGCTTGGAACTTCTTTCCTTCGACTACAAGAACGACATCACAAAAAATCTGCTGCTTGCGAAAGTTGTTCAGACTGTTTGCTAAGTTTTCGGTGTAGCTTTGTAGATCATGATCCGTCGTATGCATCACCTTTTCTTTGGGTTCTGCCATCGTACAATTCTTCTATAATCACCTTACTAGGTCTTAGTAAGTCCAGTAGCTTTTTGAATACCAACTTAGCTTGAATCAAGCTACTTATTGCAAAAGACGACGTTTTTTTGTAAGATGACAGGCAGTAATTACTAACTGCTCATCTGTCATCCTGTGTGTCCCTGGTCATGACGGATAACGACTTCGGCGCGGAAAACTAATTTTCAACTGAATAATTTGATCCCCTCCCGGCCTTAGGCAAGTTTCATCGGCTTTATGTTCTTAATAAAAAATTGCATAGTGTCAAGTGATTGATTGCAACTGAGGTTACGACATAATAATTGATGAAGTATGTGGTATAGTTTGTATTTCTCTGAGGGCAAGTAACGTGGTTTAGAAACCATGTTGGTCTTTTAGCGAGAAAAAAAAACAAAAAAACAAAAGAAAAACATCCGTTAATAAAAAAAATTTTCATGAATAAACGACGAATCCCAAAATAGGAATTCTTTAAGGGTATCGGCACATAGTTCATAAATGTCTTTCCATGGAAGTGATATATAAATCCGTAAGCTAATATCATGTATGGAAAAATGACAGCCATGGAAAAACAGAAAATCCAGGTTTAATCCTCTAAATCCTTCACCGGTAGCCAAACAAACAGCAAAAACTGACCGTTGGTAAACTGTCGATGAATCACTGTTGTGGGGCCGATAATGATGCAATATTCATTGTGCGTTCTGGTTGGCGTTCTTTCAGAAGTGCTTATTTCAAAAAAGCGTCGTCGGTCTGAGATCTGAAATGGCGATATCTGAGACTCAACGAAATTTTTTGTGTTTTATGTTTTTTTGGCTAAAATACAAAGTCACATTTTGAACTCAAAGGTCATGCTTCATATTCGAATCTTAAAGAAACTCTACGTTTTGTTCGGCTGTGAATATACTACATTTTGCAGCAAGTTACTCAGTCTCATATTTCAGATTTACGTCCGACGTTTTTTGGAAGAGGTGTATACCTTAATCATGGATTATTTAACCTTTTTTTATTAGCTGTTGTCGTTTGTTGTTGTTGTTGTTGTTGTTGTTGT